GAATTATGAAGGCACACAAAGTGGCACACACCTATAATCCCTGAAATTCATGAGGAGGCTTTAGTGGGAGAATAACAAATTCAAGACCAGTCTCAACAACTTAATGAGACCCTGTCTCAAAAAAAAAAAAAAAAGCGGCTAGGGAATGTAGTTAGTGGTAGAGCACCTCTAGGTTTACTTCTCCATAACACACACACACACACCACACACCATATGAAATTATGGATAGTGACTTGAATCACTGTATCAATTTATGACATTAACAGCCAGACTGCAGTTATATAAGAAAATATTTCTATTCTTCATTGAAGTACTCAAAAGTGAAGGGCCATGACTGATTCTCAAATGGCTCAAAAAACTACACCACATATACACGGGAGAGTGAGAGAAGGGAGTGTACAAATAAAAATGTAAATAGGGTAAAATGTTAACAATAGGCTGGGACTGGTGGTGCAAGCCTGTAATCCCAGCGGCTGGGGAGGCTGAGACAGGAGGATTCTGAGTTCAAAGCCAGCCTCAGCAAAAGGAAGACACTAAGCAACTCAGTGAGACCCTATCTCTAAATAAAATACAAAATAGGGCTGGGGATGTGGTTCGGTGGTCAAGTGCCCCTGGTCAATCCCGGGTACCAGAAAAAAAAAAAAAAGTTGGTTAAAGGAAACAACATTTTTATTTCATTTCCTTTTTTAAAAAACATGACAACTAGCAATATTAATTTACATGACTCATGTTTGCATTGGGTACAGCTGAACTAGGCAGTCAAGCAACTCCACAATGTTAGGTTTCACAATCTGCAAATTTGTGTCTCAATTTCTTTCTGCTTTAAATACACCTCTATCTCTAAAAAGCACTTGATTTAAAGCTACTTAAGGGTACAGAATGTGTGCTGCTATAGCCCCAGTATCTAATACATAACCAGTTTATAAATATTTCTAACAGGTATGATGCTAATGAAGGAAGAGCAGGAGGAATGAACACATTTCCAGTTCTGAATCTTTTTTACACCATAATTCCTTGCTGCAATGCAATGTTTATCTTCCCCTCTCAATCACATACATTCTTTAAAACCCCACCTCAAGCCAATATCCCCCAAGGTCACACACAAGTTCATTCTGACTTTTCCTTCTTGGTACTACTACAGCCTTCATTGTCTCTATTATTTACTTTAGCACAACATAAGTTGAGGCACAAGTTAGGTCTTATATTTATCCTCTATCCTTCACAGTAACTAGCACAGTGCTAACAACATCAGTGGAGCAGTGGTGGACAAGGGAAAGGAAGATGCTAGGAAAAGGAAAATTAATTTGGAGTTGGAAAATATGGCTCCATTCTCTAGCAGCCTTTGACATCTACTACGTTGTCTTAGGTAAATCACCTAATTTCATTCAGTTTCTATTTCCTCATTTTTAAAATCAGAAAGACAAACCTAATGTCCATAAAAGAAGTCCTTCCACTTCTACAACTATGGAATAATTAAATTAGTTCTTCAATCCCAAGCACCACCAAAAAAAAAAAAAAAAAAAAAAAATCCATTCTTTCTTTAGCAGAATTTTTTACATTTCCCAACAAAAGGAAATCTAACGCACTACCATTAAATCACAGTAAATTCTTGAAGAAATGGCAGTGAAGCTTATAAACTGCCTATGGTACAAATGCTGACCATCTTTTTGGCCATTAAGAACTTTAAATTCAGGTTATTCTTCATAGAGCTATTAAGAAAATATTGAATATATACACATTGAAGCTATCTCATTATCATGATCGTTATTTTCCCAGATGTTTTGAACTCTCAGAGTGACATCTTTTTTTAACTTAGCTAATGAAAGAGAAGGAGAAGACGGAGGAAGAAAAGCACAAACCAAATTTTTGTAAAGTACCCCGGGGACCTTATTGGTAACACTGAAATACTCTGAGTTATAATCAATTATAAATACTTTGTCTCTTTCTTCTTTCACAAATGTTATTTAAAGGACATTATTCAGAATATATAAAAAGGTCATCTTAAAATAGACTGTTAAAGAAATGCAATATTATTTCAAAACATGGAGCCCATTTCAAACTTCTAAATCATCAACTACAGTTTCAATTATACATCCTAATACCTATGCCAAGAAATAACATTATCAGGATAGGATAAAATAAAATGGTGCCATGTCACATAATTTTAAAAATTCAAGTTACACTTGTTAGTAAATATTACCTGCAGAGTTAATATGCATTTTAGACTCTAAATTGTAATAGAAATCACAAGCTTTAAGAATTTATCAAAATGTTCCTATTAAATACTGAGCATTAACACTGACCCATCTAGAAGATAAATTCCTTCAAAGGGACTGTAGGTCCTCTCATAATTTGGTCCCTAGTTACCAGTAGCCTCATCCCCCACCAATCCAAAGCATAATTGCTCAAAGGTTCCCTTTGACTCCATGCCTTTACATTTTCCCTTCCCTCTGTCCAACATGCCCTTCCCTCCTGAGCTGTAGATATGCTCTACTCCCTGAAGCTTTTCCTTATTGCCTCAACACCCTCCCACAAAGAGATCCATGTAGCACTGCAATTACTTCAAATGTCTACCTCCCCAACCAATCAGGCTGTAAGTTCTAAAGGGAGAAGCTGTATCTTATTAAATGGTTTCCCAGTTCCTAGCATAATACCTGTCATTTACTGAAACCCAATATAAGTACACTGAACAAAAGAAAGTTAACTGTGAGAAACACTTCAAACCTTCCTATTGAAGAACACATACATTTAACAGGGTGGTTCTCACGGGATACTTAGTATAAGTCTATAGAAAAATTTGGTTGACACAGGGGAGGAAGGGATTTGAGGAAATGCAATGAGCATCTAGTGAGCAGAAACCAGGGCTGCTGCTAACTGTCCTGCACAGGGCAGGCCTCTACAACAAAGAATTATCTTGTCACAAATGTCAATAATGCCAAGGTTAAGAAACTCAGCAGTCAACTGACTTATTAAAAAATGATGTGACATCACATCTCAGCAAAACTATAATAAATTCCTATTTTGCCATTTCTATTGAAACTTCTTTAAGGGTTGATATATACACACCAACACTAAAAATCATCTTTATATAACCTCAGTGCTCAACAACATGAAGCTAAGAGTCCTAGAAAGCATCCCGTTTTTTGGTTTTTTAAAATTTTTTTAGTGATTGACGGATCTTTATTTTATTCATTTATTTATACACGGTGCTGAGAATCAAATCCAGTGCTTCACATTTGCAAGGCTCTACCACTGAGCCACAATCCGAGCCCCAGCATCCCGTATTTCTTGAAAACTAATCTATTAACTACCAGAAGTATTCCCAAATCAGAACAGTTTTATTTATAAACCTTAAAGCAAACCACAGGCAAAGTAATTTTCACTCATAGAAATATGACAGAAACATAATCTGAGGCATGAGGTAATCAGTTCTTCCAGGTCTGATAAAAGAAAAATCTCTTACATACTGAAGTAAGTCATGCACAGATAGATGTCTTTACTGGTTTGTGTGTGTGTGTGTGTGTGTGTTTGTTTATTGGTTCTAGGGACTGAGCCCAGTCGTGCTTTACCACTGAACCACATCCCCAGCCCTTTTAATTTTTTATTTTGAGACAGGGTCTCGATAACTTGCATAGGGCCTTGCTAAATTACTGAGACTGGCCTCGAACTTGTGATTCTCCTGCCTCAGCCTCCCCAGTTGCTGGGATTACAGACATGCACCACTGGTGCCTGGCCAGATGTCTTCACTGTTGAACAAAGGAAATGATGGGGAGAGAAAAGGGCATGCCCTTGCTGCTCCAAATCAGTATTTATCAAGACAAAACCACTGCTGAAAATCAAAGTATTAATACAGCGAGTGAGATATAAAAGTTAACTATTTCTCCCAGAATATATGACCCAGTCTCACATGACTTCAACATTTCAGAAAAGCTGTGCAGAAGCAACACTCCCTTTCTATATAATGAATGACTCAACTCTCTTTTGACACATGCCTTGAGTAAATACTACAAATTCACTAATTTCTCTAGCTATTGTACTCCCCCTAGGTAACCAACTAAGGGGGTTGACACCTAGATTTCAATCATTTATACTTTGTTACACTCCATCAGTCTATCAAAGAGGGAAAAGGTATGAAAAAACTTGAGTACAGTAACTATTATTTAAAAAGAGATTTTAATCATGTTATTCTAGGGACTGATTCCTAAACAAAACATTTACAGCTTTCTAACGTTCTTATTATCAAGGTTTTTCAGACTTCAAATAAAGAAAGCACTGGCAAAAACTGAAGTGTATACCATTTGATAAAGCTTACAGTGATTTTATTCTTGGATAGCTAAAATAAGGTACTGGAGCTTGGAGGGGAAAACGCATTTTTAATTTTAAAAAAAGTTTCCAACAGTGAGTAATATCTTCCTTCTCAGCTGACTTTGCCAGTAAGTGTCAGTCCCACGATCAGGCCCACGCTAGGCCAGGTCTCACGTTACCCTCCAATGCTGTCCAGAAAAGAAAGAAGGCGAGCTGCATGTGGCAGGTGCGTGTCGCGTCGAGTTGAGGGGCACAGTGGGCGGGGAGGGTGGGAAGGGCCAGGCAAGCCGCCCGCAATCTCCCACGGGGCGTTCTCCAGGCGGGCGGGCGGCTGGCCCGCCAGTCGCTCAGGCACAAACTCTCCATTTTCATTCCCATCCTGGGATTCCGGGAGGGACGCGCCGGCACCACACCCTCGGACTCGCAGTGACAGCCCAGCGCGCGAGCGGGCGTCGGGCCGCGGGGTCTCCGGCCGGCCGCCCGCCGTGCCCCACCCGCCCCGCGACCCGCCCCCGGGCCGGACGAGCAGGCCTAAGCGCTTGCCGGGCTGCGGGGCCTAGAGAAGGAAGGAGCCCGAGCTGAAGAGGTGGCGCCCGCGCCACCGCCTGGGCTCCCAGCTCGGCGGCGGCGGCGGCGCCCGCGGCCCCGGGCTCTCCCGCTCACGTGCTGCCGGAAAGACGGTTTCACTCTCTTACCCTCTGCAAAATCCTCCTTAACATGGTTTTAACACCACCCGGCGCCGCCGCGGTGACTCTCCGAACCCTACGCGGGCTACTCACTACTCGGGGGCACTCGGATCGGGAGGGGACAAGGGAGAAGATCGGGGCGAGATGGTGGCTGCGGCCGCTCAGGCTGCCCCGACTTCCCCACAGGCGACGAGAGGGAGCGAGCGCGAGCAAGCCAGCGACGCGAGGTAGCCGGCGAGCGCCCGCCCGCCTGCCGGGCCGCCCCCGTAACTGACAGCTGGGCGGGCCCGCCCGCGGCTACCGAGGGGCGGAGCCGCTGCCACCCCGCCCCTCGGCCTGTCCGTCCGCTAAGGGCGGGGCTGGAAGGGGGCCGGCCTGAGTCTGTGGCCAATCGGAAGCGGCGGGAGCGTGGGCGGCTGCGTGACGGACAGGCAGCAGGACGCTGGCGCCGCGGCTTCTTCCGGCGGGTCAGAGGACGCTAGGGCAGCTGTGCGAACGCCTTGCTCCGTCAGAGGTCCGCGCCCTCCCGTCGACCGCGTCCTTCCAAAGGTCCGCCTGGGATGTCCCTGACCAGGGCTGGAGGAGTATACACACATATGATATCTTCCACTGAGCTTCGGGCAGTTTTGCAAAATTTGTCAGTGAGCCCCTTCCGGTTCCTGCTCCTACTTAGAAGGATCTTTTAGGCTTTCCTCTGCTTTTCCAACCCCTGGTTTCCTTTCCCTGCTCCCTTCCTGCTTCTAATTGCAGTTAAAAAGTCAGCAAAGGATCAGGAAAAGGGATAAAAAGATGCTGTAATTTGAATTGACAAGAGAAATTTGGTCTTGTTCTTTTTGGACCTTCTCTCAGCCTCTTGTAAGGAATTTTAAATCCTATTCTGATGGTAGATATATGAAGTAAGTCGGCCTGTATTTTGCAGATTAAGGAAAAAAAATGAAGTCGCTGCTAAACAGGTGCTAGAAAAAGACTTGGACATGCAATTGACGTTTAGACTCAATGTCATTATTTAAACTTGAAAATCAAAGCTACTGCTTTGTAGCGTTCTGTCAGTATTCACAAATCAAGGGGCCCAATTTTCACCCTGATCAGGGAAAAAATGTTTTTAATATTGCATAATTAAGGAAGGAGAATGAATGATGGAACTAACATAGGGAGGAGGGGGAGATAAACCTTGAAGTCTACCAGACAATGAATGAAGAGATTATTGGAAAGTACTTTCAGATCCTTTGAAAAGATGCAGAAAACTAGGTATTGTTTTCAAACCAGTTAATGAATGTGAAAGTACTTTGTAAAGTATAAAAGATTATATAATATGTATTTCTATTCTAAACCTGTTTTGTTTTTTACTGTATCCGTGTTCATGTCTCTTTATAATACATCAGAACAGTCATGCCTACAACTGACACATTATTAATCACTGTTGATAATGTACTTACAAAGCACACACCTTTCTGTCTTTCTAGACACAAGATTTATTTTCAGACAATATGAGAAACAGTCTCAGAGCATAGGGTGTGTGTTGATCAGCTGTAACAAAGTAGGTGAGAAAGACAACTTAAAGGATAAAATATATTTTGACTCATGGTTTTAGTCCAAGGTCCACTGGCTCCATTGCCCTGGACCTGAGGTGAGGCAGACCATCATAGTAGAAGGGCATAGCAAAGGACAAGTTGCTCACCTAGTTACAGCCAGGTAGCAGGGAGAGAGAAAGGGCCCCAGGATAAGAAAAGGGACACACTCCCAAGGACCTACTCTCTTCAACTAGGTCCTACTTCCTGCAGTTTCTATCACCTCATGAGGGTCCATTCATTGATGAGATCAGAGCCCCCTGATCCAATCACTTCCCAATGGTTCAACTCTGAACATTGCTGCATTGGGAAACAAGCCTTCAACCCATGAGCCTTTGGGGGACATTTCCAGATCCAAATCATATCAGGGTTATAAAAGTGACTTTTTTGTTTGGTTTTCAAAACTTAATTTTAAATTGTTTATTATGGACCAGGCATGGTGGAGCACACCTGTAATTCCAGCAGCTTGGGAAGCTGAGCCAAGAGGATCACAAGTTCGACGCCAGCCTCAGCAAAAAGTGAGGCACTAAGCAACTCAGTGAGACCCTGTCTCAAAATAAAAGTACAGAAAGGGCTGGGGATGTGGCTCAGTGGCCAAGTGTCCCTAAATTCAATCCCTGGTACTCCAAAAGAAATAATAATAAACTTGCTTATTAATGGCATATGCCATATCCTTCTTTCTTGGAATTCTCCCCCCCCCCCTTGGGTACCAGGGATAAAACTCATGGGCACTCAATGACTGAGCTACATCCCCAGCACGATTTTGTACTTTATTTAGTGACAGGGTCTCACTGTGTTGCTTAGTGCCTCACTTTTTGCTGAGGCTGGCTTTGAACTAGCTGATCCTCCTCTCTCAGCCCCGCAAGCTGCTGGGATTACACGTGTGTGCCACCATACCCAGCTCTCTTGGAATTCTTATGTAGAATTTTTTTACTAATATAATAGACTCTCATCTACTGTTTAGCCAGACAGTTTATTCCAAAATATTTACAGTCCCTTGAAGTTTATGGTAACTCTATCACTAGAGTAATATTCTAGTGATAGAAGAAAATAAGTAATGATTAAAACATAATTGTGTAAGAATACCATTCACTAATTCCACACATAATAACTCTGTTGCTCTATATGACCACTAATTCCCATCTATTCATCTCTCTTACATTAACATTCCCACAACCATCACTCCTTTGACTCCCACCAAGAACTCCAATCTACTGGCCCCTCTTTCTTACTATCAGTCATTACTCTATCCTACATATTTCCATCAAAATCCAGCTTGAGTCCATAATCCAACTTTACAGTTCCCTCTTAAAAATATGTTTGACATTACCTCTCTCTCTTCCTCCATTGTTTTCATCTAACCTGGTTTAAACTCAACAATCCACCTACTCTAAGCACGAGAGCAGCTGAACATCACTTCAGATGCAGGCATATAATGGAGGTTATTGGGCACATTTTGCATTAATAGTCACAGAACTTCCTTAGCTGGGCACTCAGTGAAAGAGGGGAAGGAAAGGGAATAGAAGGAAGGAAAGGAGGGAGTGACAGAGGGAGGAAAGAAAGGAGAAAGAGAAGGAAGGGAGAAAGACAAATTTTAGACAGTAATAAAAATAATTAGATAAATCTTCCAAAATGGACTCTTTTTTTCCCTCAGGCTAGTGATTTAAAACACATCTGCCATTTCAGTGACTTTCCTGCCACCAAAAGGTAGGATCTAAGTCTCTGCTTGAAAGTAGGCTGGACTTAGTGACTTGTTTCAAATGAATAAAATGTGGTAGAAGTAATGCCATGACATAACTAAGCTAGCATGAAGCTGTATGGGATTCCTGTTATATGAGTAATACCAAATGATGAGCAAAATTGTTTAAAAGAGGTAGAAGTATAGCCAGGACCATTATCGGTTTTTAACTGTTTAGGAACGCCCACAGTGGCAAAATTTTGTAAGCAATGAGCTATAACATCTTTAGTTTTTTCTCCGGCATGAAGGGAGCCCATCAAAAATCCAGAAGAAGTATCGACTGTAACGTGTAAATATTTTAATTTTCCAAATTCTGGCAAGTGTGTGACGTCCATCTGCCAAATATGGTTAGGTATCAATCCTCTAGGATTGACTCCAAGATTAACTTGTGGTAAAAATGTCACACAATTTTGACATTGTTTTATTATATGTCTGGCTTGTTCCTTAGTTATTTTAAAACGCTTTTGTAAAGTATTAGCATTAACATGAAACCTTTTATGAAAATTTGTAGCTTCTTCAAATGTAGAGAAAATATGTATGTCATGTGTAGTTTTATCTGCTAAATCATTGCCTAAACTAAGGGCTCCAGGCAATCCTGTATGTGCCCTAATATGTCCTATGAAGAATGGATCTTTTCTGTCCCAGATTAGACTTTGTATAGTGGAAAACAAAGAGAAAACAGTAGAAGAAGGGGAAATCCTACCAGCATCTTCAAGAGATACTATAGCATTAACTACATACTGACTATCAGAAAATAAATTAAATACAGAATCTTTAAACATCAAAAAAGCTTGTAAAACTGCATTAAGCTCTACCTTTTGAGCTGATTGTTTGGGTACTAAAAATGTAAAAGTTTGATCAGGGGTAACTACTGCTGCTGTACCATTATTTGACCCATCAGTGAAAATATTTGGAGCATTCATGATAGGTGTTTTTCTTGTCATTTTAGGAAAAACTACAGGATGCTTAGACCAAAAAGACAACAAAGGATTAGATGGTAAATGATTATCAAATGAAACATTAGATTTACACATGATTATTGCCCAAGTATTTAACTCATTAGCTAACTCATCAATTTGATCCATAGTATATGGAGTAATAATTTTATTGGGAGAAATTCCAAACACTCCCTTCGCTGCTTTTATTCCTTTGAATATTAATTGTCCTACAGCCTCAGGATACCTAGTAAGAATAGTGTTAGGAGAATAAGATAAATGTATCCATAATAATGGACCTTCTTGCCAAAATACTCCTGTAGGGATATTTTTTGTTGGTAGTACAATAAATAATAAAGGCAAACTTATATCAATTCTATCCAAATGCATATTTTCCATATATGTTTCAATAATTTTTAATGCCTTTCTTGCTTTAGGAGTTAACATGCGGGGTGAATTTGGATCTGATGGACCTTTTAGAATATCAAATAAAGGTCCCAACTCTCCTGTTGGTATACCTAGATAAGGCCTTATCCAATTTATGTCTCCCAATAACTTTTGAAAGTCGTTAAGTGATTTGAGTTGATCTACTCGTATTTGAATTTTTGGTGGACGGACCATGGTTGAGGATAATAGAACTCCTAAATAATTAATTGGAAAATTTAATTGTACTTTATCTATTGCTATCTCTAGATTATAATTTTTTAATAAGTTTGTAAGTGTGGCATAACATTCCAGCAATATGTTTTTATCTTTATGTGCCAATAATACATCATCCATATAGTGAAATATTTGTAGTTCAGGATTTTGATTTCTAAGTGGCTGGATTGCTTTGTTAACATATATTTGGCACATAGTTGGACTGTTAGCCATCCCTTGAGGGAGTACTTTCCATTCATATCTCTGATCAGGACCTTCATGATTTAATGCAGGGATAGTAAATGCAAAACGTGGACTATCCTCGGGATGA